TGCGTTTGCCTACGTGGGAGTCCAGCGACATAGCCATTACGCTAACTGCTGGTCCCGCTATAGTTGTACTTTCTGTAACTTTTTTTTTTTAATTGCTAGAAGGCATGTGTACTTGGTAGAGAGAGAGCATGCACACGCCCTTCAGTGGAATATGGTCGCAGTCCTTTTCTCTCCATTCTCCCTTCCTGTCAGGATTTTGGACATGGAAACACGCATACCTACTATGGGTTTCAAGCTGCTGGGGCCAGGATTTGAAATGTGGTCAGCCATGTGGTCTCTGATTCCCTGTGTTACTTTTTAGTTGTGAGGAAGAAAGGTACCTGTGGGACGAGCAGATGGCGTAGCAGTTATGTTGCTGGACTCTCACATGGCCAGCCGTGGTTTGCATCTGGACCCAGTGGCTTAAAACTCAGGCCAAAGGCACGTGCGTGTGTGCCCAAGATCCTAGGAGGAGAAGAGATCGCAGCATGGCTACCCCCCTCCCCCGGGGGGTGATTTCTCAGTTTCCCTCTCACTGTCTCTGTCTCTGTCTCTCTCCAGTGAATACATGTGCCCTAAGGCAAAAACCTCTACCAAACCAAAAAAAAAAAAAAGAAAACCGCTTGAGAAGACTGAACTTTGGACATGTCTGGAGATGATAGTATCTGCAGCTGTCTGTTTGGGGACAGTGGCCTAGTTGGGTGCCTGGGCTATGAAGAAGGCAGTTTGCCTATTTTTTTTTTTTTTTGTAGAGGTTTTTGCCTTAGGGTGCATGCACTCACCAGGGAGAGAGACAGAGACAGAGCCAGTGAGGGGAGAAATCATCCTTGGGGAGGATGGCCACACCTACAATCCCTTCTCCATTCTCCTCCCAGGATCTTGGGCACACACACATGCACCTGGCATTGAGTTTCAAGCCACCTAGCCAGGACCAAACCATGATTTGCCGTGTGGGAGTCCAGTGACATAACCGTTATGCCATCTCCTACCAAGAACAGGCCCCACGGTTGCCTGAGCTTCAGTGAAATCATAGCAGCCTGTGCTAACCCAGAAGCTGGATATTCGCCTTTGAGCTTGTCTTACACTTGTTGAAACCCAGACATGTGTCAACCTAAGTTTCCACCCAGCAAAATGGATCTATTCCCCCTGAATATGCTAGTAAGTTCAGATAATGCAAACAGTTGTGGAGGTCAGTCAGCAAACTGACATTTGCATTACTCTTCAGTCATGTCAGACTGTTCTGCTTCTGTTTGGCAGAGTTCTCACTCCCTCCATTGTACTTTTCCAGGAGAGGCCAAGTGGCTCCTACAAAGTGGCATTGTTATTCTCCTTCCTCATGGCTATGATGGGGCTGGACCAGACCATTCATCTTGT